TCAAACAAATTTGGAAACAAGCTCTTCAAAGACCGAAAGGATAAATGACCTAACCGATTATGCCAAAGCATAACCTGACTAACAGACTGAGAAACAAAAGACTTCCTATCTTCACGATCTTCCCAATGAGAACTCTCTCCAAGCAGATAGATCCCATTCGTCTCACGGACAGTCCCAATCACTTTCCTTGTCTCCAAGTCCTGAAAAATATATCGGTCAGGGAAAAAAGTTACTGAACAATTCTGATGTTTTGTAATACTATTGACTGAAAGCAAGTTAGTATCAAGCTTAGGAACATGCAGAACTGAAGATAAGGAAATGGTATTAGACAACTTGATGTCTCCCTTGCCAGAAACGGGAACAAGGGAACTATCAGCAATGGACACTTTATCTCTACCAGAAAATAAGTGATAGGTAGTGAACAGTGATGGCAAGCTAGTCATATGGTCAGATGCACATGAGTCTATTACCCAACATCATAGTCATAGGCTTGAGATAAGGTCACACTGTCCCTTGTTAGTATTTGCTGTCTCACAATATCATAGTCAGGATTCAGACCAGCTAGGAATTCAAAAACCATATTAGTTTCAACTTGCTTTCTACGAGTCTGTGCATCCTTCTGACTTTCCCACTCAAGTGTTTCTAGGTGGTCAATTTCATGCCACAAAGATTTCAAAGTAGAGAAGTAAACCGAGACTGGTTTCTCTCCTTGCTTAAGGTTATTAACCTCACACTTCAATTCATAAACATTAAGGGGTTGGGAGTAAGTCTCTTTCATGACATCCCAGATTTTCTTGGCTATTTTTGCCCACAAATAGTTCCAGTTGATATGTGGCTGCATAGAGTTGCACAACCATGTCATAACCAAATAGTTCTCCTGAACCCATTTGGTATATGTTTGGTCCTCCTTAGTTGGTTCTTTCACATCTCCCAACAATTAGCTGAGTTTTCCTTTACCCCCAATGGCTATCATGGCCGATTGAGCCCATTCTAAGTAGTTGGATCCATCAAACTTCACAGTTGTAATCTGAAAGGCATTCTCAGACATGTTACCAGAATTGCTAGTCCCAAAAACACCTTCCCCTTGATTCTTGAACTCCATTCTTGGTCAAGAATTAACAATAAAAAACTTTTGAAGCTACTATAATAGAAAACAACACCT